AATGTTTTTGTGGCAACACTGGTTGGCAGGCCAGTAGTGAGGAATTTGCTCTGTTCTCTTGCTTACATTGATTTTTTGCAATCACATACATTTATGTTTTGAGGTCTTTTCGTTTTGCCTACGCTTTGTGGTTACTCATTTTCAGAGGTGGGCACTACCCCAAACAAGCGTTAGCTAAAAGTGATAATGTGTTAGTGTGCCTAATTCATTTTGCATCCCTGCAGTAAATCGCGCTAGTTCAGGACTAGCGCAGAACTAGCTCTTTAAGAGGCGGTACTGATTCTCGATCTATCCCAACGCAATGCTTTCAACTGTCTCTTTTTACATGCCGATGTCCTACGAAGTGAAAATTGCCACCTCTGCAGAACTTTAGAACGCGTTCTAAACTGGTTCTGTCACGGGTGGTTCTGAGATGGTGTAAAAGGAAGCAGCTCTGTGCTAGTTCAAAAATAGATACTCCTGAACTGGTGCAAACAGGGATAGTTCCGAACTGGTCCTATTACGGGTGGTTCTGAGATGGTGTAAAAGGAAGCAGCTCTGTGCTAGTTCAAAAATAGATACTCCTGAACTGGTGCAAACAGGGATAGTTCCGAACTGGTCCTATTACGGGTGGTTCTGAGATGGTGTAAAAGGAAGCAGCTCTGTGCTAGTTCAAAAATAGATACTCCTGAACTGGTGCAAACAGGGATAGTTCCGAACTGGTCCTATTACGGGTGGTTCTGAGATGGTGTAAAAGGAAGCAGCTCTGTGCTAGTTCAAAAATAGATACTCCTGAACTGGTGCAAACAGGGATAGTTCCGAACTGGTCCTATTACGGGTGGTTCTGAGATGGTGTAAAAGGAAGCAGCTCTGTGCTAGTTCAAAAATAGATACTCCTGAACTGGTGCAAACAGGGATAGTTCCGAACTGGTCCTATTACGGGTGGTTCTGAGATGGTGTAAAAGGAAGCAGCTCTGTGCTAGTTCAAAAATAGATAGTCTTGAACTGGTGCAAAAAGGGATAGGTCCGAACATGTTTAAAAATTCATAGTTATGAGTCAGTGAGAAAAATATATAAGATACATAAATATAAATACATATATAAGTATATATTATATACATATCATATAAGTATGTATTATATAATATATATAAATATATATAAGTGTAAACAGTACTATTTAAAAAAAAAAAAAACAGTTAAAGTTTTCAAAATGAATGTTTTATTTTTGAATTCAAAACAACATCCAAAAATACCACAACTTTTCAAGTTTTGAAATACGAAGAAAAAACTCGTTATCTTAGTTAATATAGAAATCTTATGGTTAATTATATATTCCTCTTACACCTAAACTGGTGGTTCAAGTTTCATACTTTGTGAACAATTACAAAAAAACTAAAAATTTTTCTTCAGAATTAAAATTTTTTTAATCAGAATTCAATTCTGTTAAGTTAAGTGCAAGTTTACAGTACCTGTTACGCATTTTCTTCCATATAACATATTAACAAAATTTATTTTTATATAGGAGAAAATGCTCAACAGTCTAGAAAAAAAAATTATCAAAAATCAGCAGTAATTTTCAGCGCCGGAAAATTTGCACTTTGCTTACTACAAAACTTTCAGGAGATTATTTATTTTTTTTTGTTTTGAATAAGTTTAAACAGGTTTACAAAGTGGGCAAAATGTATTTGGCCACAAGTGCATAATGATATCTCAAAAACGAAATAAAAATATTTGTATTAATTTAAAAACAATATGACCTCCAAAAATAGTTTTTAAATGCGAGTAAAAATTCATTCTCTTAGTTAATACAGAAATGTCTCTAATACTTGTCTTATCCATATCTTATCTTTACTACTTAGTGTAGTAATCCTTACTACTTACTTTAGTGAGGATTAGACGTGGATTAGATAAGGATGGCATGAACCACTTAACAGTAGTATAGGATTTTATTTTTTTTGTATTTTGAATTTTGCCGTTATTACAGAGGACCATCGATATGTACATACATACATATATTTCTCTTACATCTATAGTGATATCACAAACATTTTTCATTTCATTTCATTTTAATAACATAAAAGTTTTTCTAAATTCATTTACATAAATAACAAGTAAGAAAGTCTAAGTTCGAGCGGAGCCGAACATTAAATACCCGGTGCAAATATTAAATATATGATTTTCACCTTTCCGAAAGCTACCGCTACATGGTATCAATTTTGAGTAAATTAGCGTCCTTAAATTTCAAAATATTGACGTTTCAAGCATTTCTAAAATTTACCGTTATATGAAAAACCAACCGATTTCAATAATTTTCATCGTTTTGCTTTTATGTAGCAAGCACAATAAAAATACCGAGTTTGGTACAAAATTGGTAGAACGGTTACCGAGATACATATATGTGATCATAAGTGGGCGGTGCCACGCCCATTTCTCAAAATTTTATTATAGACGTATTTCCTGGTAAGGAATTGTTTAAAGCATCAATTTTGAATAAATTGGCTTTAATATTTACTGATTTATCGAAGATTTCGTATTTCTCCAAATTACCGTTATATGAGATGTGGGCGTGGTTATTGTCCGATTTATCCTGTACCAAGGCCAATAACTGCGCCAAGTTTGGAAGAAATCGGTGCAGCGGTTGCCAAGATATGTATCCATAATGGGGCGTGGCTACGCCCATTTTTCAAAAATTTATAACATTCTTATTTTTCGTCTAAAAATTATTGTAAATATCAATTTTGAGTTAATAATCTTCAGTAGTTACTCAAATATCGCAGTTTTCGTATTTCTGAAAATTACCGTTATATGGGAGGTAGGCGTGGTTATTGTCCGATTTTGCCCATTTTCAATACCATCCGTCCTACGCCCGAAAGAAGTACACGTACCAAGTTTCGTTAAGATATCTTAATTTTTACTCGAGTTATCGTGTGCACAGACGGACGGACGGACGGACGGACGGACGGACAGACAGTCACCGCTTAATCGATTTCTCTTTTCATCCTGATCATTTATGTATACATTTGTCTATATCTATCTCGATTCGTTTTGCCTGTTACAAACAACCGTTATGTGAACAAAGTTATAATACCCTTGTGCACAAGTGCGCTCGGGTATAAAAATATACATATACATGGTTCAGTTTTTGAAATAAGAAGGGAACAACTTTTTATGCTGTTTAAGACAGAAATATTTGTGATGTATTTCTCTAACGTATGTATTTATAGCTATATTACGCATTCAAAATGCGTCGTAGCCACGTAAACCTAATATAATTAAACCGGTTTCCCATACAAAATTAAGTAAGCTTGCGTGGTTACGAGGCATTTATGCGCTTGGATGAAAAAAATATATTTCCATGTTTGAAATATGAAGTATTAAAAGCATGTACTTCCGTTATACTTATGGTGATATAACGTTTCCAAAGCAAAGACAGTGATTTACTTAGCTATTCAATGCTTAAAAATACATTTCAAGTGTTAAAATATGAAAAAGACGTTTAATCTTAGCTAATACATACGGTATTATGCAAACAAAAATACACCACACTGTTTTTTGACATTATTTCGTTGTGTCTAAGCAAATAAAATTTTGGACATTTTTGTATAAAAGTATTAAATAAAAAAATTTGGAATTTTTGTATAAAATAATAATTAGTTCTACAACTAAGCCGACTAATATCCGAGTTCCAAGGTTTGTGCGAAAATTTGGAAAATTTAATAAATGTTTATCAAAAGTTAAAAAAATTAAAAAAATATATACTGTTTATTAAGAAAAATTTCAAGTATGCAGTTTTATAGCCCATTAAATTTTTAAGAGCAAGTTTAAGAAGCTGCGAACTATCGTTAAATTTTGAATTTTTTTTTTGACAAACCTGCTTATTTTCATCCATATAAGAAAGAAAATAAGAAACAACTTCAACAGTCAAAAGCCAGCGATAGTTTGCAGCTTCTGAAACTTGCTGTTTAAAATTTAGCGGGCTATAAAACTGCATACTTGAAATTTTTCTTAATAAACAGTATACTTTTTGTAATTTTTTTAACTTTTGATAAACATTTATTAAATTTTCCAAATTTTCGCACAAACCTTGGAACTCGGATATTAGTCGGCTTAGTTGTAGAATCTATTTTAATTAGAAGCAAAAAAATAATAAAAATAAAGCGTTTTCCTTAAACAAAATTTTGATTTTGAAACAATAGGTAAGGAAAAAACATTTGATATTGGCTCATTTGTTTGATGTCGCAGAGTTTTTAAAATAGCGTTTCTTGTGAATTCTAAAGGCCTTGCGCAACTGCTCTTCAAGATTTGTGTCGCTTGGTAAATGTGAAATAGCGTCTACATAAAAATTACGAATGATTTAAACTAGTTGTAACGAAATTAATTTTAGTATATATTTGTATAGATAATTACCTAAAAGCGCAGCAAAAAATATGTTGTATGACTTCAAACTTTTTTTGCCATGAGTGCCGTCAACATTGTAACTCATTATTATTGATTCATCGAGGATATTTTTAATATTTTTCGTAGCAGAATGTTGCAGTAGCTGGCTCATTATGGAAATCTGTAAAAAAGTAATAGTTGTGGTTAAATAACCGCCATAAATGTAATATGTAGCAGTAATAATTTAGTTGCACATTTACATAATTATCTCGGTTCTCCGGAAAAATTTTGTTATCTACGGCTTCTAAAGCATCGTTGGATTAAATTGGGAAAAGTTGGGCTATAGGCTGTGCAAGGGATTCTTTACGAATAAGCTTGTTGGTTAAAATTTATTGCTTCGCTAATGCTGCCATTACGGCCTTCCTTTGGACTAATTGATTTTCTGAAAGGAGAATATAAGTGCATTTTCCTTTTGTAGTTTTTGTTAAAGCGCCATTCCTTACTTTCAATTTGGTCCAGTTTTCCAAATAAAAACGATTTTAAGTTATCAGCATTTTCTAAGGAAAGAGTATAACCAAAAAGTTAGTGAAGCAAAAACTTGTTTTTTCGAATATACATACCATTAATTTCTTTAATTTTTTCCTGTAAGTCAACTTGTGCAAGTCCTGGTTGAAGTGGCGTCTGCAAAAAAATTATTTTGAATTTTTAAAATTTATTACAAACATGTACTTACGAGACTGAAACAAGTGTTCACATAGTGTTGTTTTTTGCTAATTTACATATGTATATAAAATTTATTTAATTTTCATCTAAATTACGATGTTTTAAGAGGGTATGCAGCTTCGTTAGCTCATTTAATTTTAATAAAACAAAATGCACATTTCAAGTGGCCAAACTTCGAACTGATTTTTGGCAATTTTTTTTATATAGAATTGAGATTTTTTTCTTCGTATAACGCAAATATTTTATGATGTAGAAAAATGCGTATGCATGCAAAATTATTACAAATTAACCAAAATATTTTTTAAATACTTGCGTTTTACAAGAAAAATTGCCAAAAATCAATTCAAAGTTTGGCCACTTGAAGCGTGCATTTTGTTATATTAAAATGAAATGGGCTACAAAACTGTATACCCAAAAATTTCATAAGCCTCCAGTTAAAAGCTTCGGAATTTAAATGAAAATTTAATAAGTTTTGTACAAAGTTTACAACAAAAGATATTTCATGAAAAAACATTTCTGCTTTTCCAAAAAACAAACACCATGTGAACACATGTAAACCCATGGCGAAATTAATAGAAACGTTTCTTTTGTTTATTTAATATTAAAAAATTAAACAGTTGGGAATTTAGATGAAATTTTTAAATACGAATTTAAATAATTTTTGCACAAAGTTTGTAATATGAATTTATATGGTTTTTGTTAACCATTCCGATGCACTTTTATAAAAAATAATAAATATTACGTAAACAAAATAAACATAGCCAAAATTGGTAAAAACAAGGCGTCTATATTATTTTAGTCATGAGTGTAGCTACAAATTACATTACTTACGTTGTGGTGGAGGATCTTTATGGACTAGTTTCCTTTTGAATGGCCTTGCGCTTATTTCTTTTTCTCCTCTTAAATCTATAAGCGTTTAAATACTCAAGATTTGTATTTGATATAACGGCAATCATGTAGAATTGGGAGAAAGAGTAAGCGACCAACATGCGGCAGGCCTAACAATTTACATTCTATTTCACTCACAGGAAACAGTACTTCTTCGTCTGGCAAATTTAAATCAACTGAACTTATTCCTAAAGTTATTGAGTCAACAGGCTCACTGAAAAAGCTTCGAACATTCGTATATTTCTTCCCTACGACTGAACCACCATTATCATATGTAAATCTTTGTATCTCTATGGGAACATAAGGCTTTATTAAACAGTAGTTATCAGGGTGTTTCGCAGTGGAAACGCAATTGTTACGAAAATATTTATATTCTCCATTCTTAGCCAGTTTCAAACCATCAAAAGCAGTTTCAGTGTTGAAACTTTCATACGAAATTCTTTTATAAAGTTGTTGCAAAATATGTGTGGGCTTTTTAACATATCGTTTTAGAATTTGTAAATAATTTTCAAAATCATATACTGATGATTCTGATATCAAACCTATCTCTTCGATGCTATTTGTCAAGTGAAGCAAATGATGCACATTATATGTGACGCTTGTTTCTCCAAAGACAACTGGAAAATTTTGGACGAATAAAGATAACATATTTTGTGCTATTTGCGTATTCGAGGTATAACTTTTAGGGCAAAGCAATAGCCTACAAGAACAATGCAGGAGCAAGTACTCATAATATATATTATCGTCAACTCTATTCTTCAAAACAGAAAGTCCTGTATAAAGCAGGAATTGCCGGAATTCCGTGGCCTTCCAGTTATAAATTTCATCAAATCCCCTTGGCTTCCTCACAAACTCTTTAGTAATACACATTTCAAGTGATTTTAGGCTATTCGAAATGTAATTTTTATTTTCGTTGGATACCTTCATATTAACTTTATCCTGCAACACTCGGAGTAGAAACTTTCGCATTACACCTAAATCAATTAGGTGCATACTATCTATAGCCACTTGGCTAATCATTCTTACGCCTATGGTTTCTAATGGTGTCTGTTTGTCCCTATACTGTGGCAAATGATGCCTTTCGTTCATTCTGTTACAGAAGTCTTCATTAGAGATGAGTTCACCACTTTCTACACCGTATACCAATACATTACCTATTTACTTTCCTTCCGACTCGTGTGCATTTTGTGCAGCCAAATGCCGATGTGTGGCCAGGTATACCGCAAATAAACACCTTAGCTGGCGCATCACACACAAGTGATCGAATCTCAACTTTAATAACTCTTCCTAATAATTCTATTCCACGATCCAAAACATTTTTAATTTCATTTACGAATGCTGATAAATAAGCGTCAATGCAATCAGGCTTCTTAGTACCCAAATAAATTCCCACAGGGAACACTGGGGTATTTCTAATATTCACTGCCCTCAACAAAATTGGCCACAACTGTGTACGGGAACTTCTGTAAAGTGGTATGCCGTCAACATTCACGTCCACACATATCAATTCGCAACTATCTAAACCGTTGGCCAACTTTTCCAGTTGCTTCTTTACACCTATATGACAGTAAGAGCCAGGAGAAACATTTTCTATTACAGCTCGTTGCCTATGATTGGCAATAAGGGTTTCAGCACTTAAAGGCACATCTAAATTTCCACTTTTTAAAATCTGTAGCAAATCCTCCAAACATTTTCGTGACGGTCTATTTTTTAAATACCACTGCACAAGTTTAACTTTTAAATCGCTCCTTTCTATATTATTTCGCCCTGATTCAATATCTGCCTCTACTTCTGGACGCGCGTCCACTGCGAACTGTGATTCTCCCACAACTTCTGCCACACTTTCACTTCTTTCACTATCACCTAATGAACTGAGATTATTTATGTAAATATCTTTTTGCCTTTTTATTAATCGCCTGATGTGTCGCTTACTCATTTTAATAAAATTTACTCACAATTTGAAATTATTACATTCGACATAAATCGCGCACTTAACTAGTTATGTGTGCAAACAGCTGCTTCTAGAGGCAGTCGATTATCGATAAACTTTATACAGTGAATAGCCGAACATTTAGAAAGTAACTGATTTGCAGAGTTTAAAACAAATATAAGTTATATTTAAATGATTATTAATGAACGTCTGTTTTAAAATATGTCACCTTGATGCATAATAACAAGCAATACTACATAAAGCACTTATGTAGGTAATATCATTTGTTTTTGTTTTCAACAGCTCAAAGTAATCGATGGAATTTCCAACATTTCCAAAAGCTTATATTTTGAAAACTATTAAACCGATTTTCAAAATATGGACACATTTGGAAAGATAATTGAAGGACCTTTCATTCAATATATATATCTATGTATATAATGCAAACATATTTTGAGAAAAAGTAAAAAAAACGAAATTATGGCAATTTTTTATAAAAATGTATGTTTTTGGTAAAAAAATACGTAATTAACTATATTAACAAATATGTTCTTTGGAAAGACCATAAAAATACCTTTAATTTGGCGTATAAATTTACACAGTTAGGTTTAAGTACAACTGCCAACAGTGCAATAAAACAACTGTATTAATGTTATATGCTATTAATTTAGGTAGTAGTGCACTTTAGCGGAACCAGGTCGAGAGGGGTATCAATCGACGCGTCTTAATGCCAATAATAACAATCCGAGACCGGAAATTAATATTTTTAATTCATTAAAGAGTTCAACTTTTATATTTAATATGTGTGCAATATCTCTGAAACAACTTGATGATTAGAAAATTAGTGATGCTTATTTAAGGATAATTGAAATACCTTTTATGCGACGTATATACTATAACAACTTTCATAACAATTTTATACACATGCCATTTAAAAAAATGTATTCGTTTTTTTTTGCTTTTTATTATTTTCAGCTTAAAAATATAAAAAAGCATATATGTATATTGTATTGTTGCTTTATTATTTATTTATTTATTTATTGATTTATTTATTTATTTATTATTAGTAATTATTTATTTGTAAAATAGGACAATCTGTTTTTATAACAAATAAGAGGTATTGGAGAAAACGTTAAGCAACTCGTATTTTTTTTTAAATACTTGCCATTTATGTAAAAAATTTTATGAAATATCTAAGTTAGGTCAGACATGGACATCAAATCAAAAGACATTTTCAAGTACAATGGCGAAACCGTATCGATAACTATTATGATATCGATGCCAGTAATAACAACTATTCGATACAATCAAGAAATGAGCAATATAGACTGCTTGTGGAACAAACAGAGTACCAATTGGTTCGCCCTGCATCCATTTTGCACTAGTTCGGGGACAGTCACGATATGTGTAGTGCTGAACTAGCGCTTTGCGAGACTGTCCCTCATTTTTACTGCGGGGATGCTTTCGCGTTCTCATCGTTACGGTCTTGCTTGTATACGTACACACGATGATTACGCTCTTTGAGCGTGTGCTCGTTCTCTGCCCATGCCTGCTCATTTTTCAGCTGATGGATTTAAACCCCAGTAGGAAATCTGCCGGCAGCATTGATGAAAACCATAAAATTTTAGTAAATATTTTGTGCAAACAGTCTAGTGGCCTTAAAATTGTGCATTTTAATGCGCGAAGCCTTAACGGTGACAAAATGGACTACGTTAGGAATGTCTTTGGGGGATCGGGCGTTGATGTTATCTGTGTATCAGAAACATGGTTCAATGCTAATATTCCTGACTATTATTATGGAATCCTACTAAACGAATAACCCTGAAACGGAATTTATTATTTCTCAAATTTCAGACGGTGTAACAAAAGTACTAGTGTCCTGTGTGTATAATCCTCATAGGTGTTGTATGTTAGATTCGTTTTTTGTTGAGTTATCCGCGTTTTTAATTGAATATGAATATTACGTTGTATGTGTTGATTTTAATGTTAACCTGCTGTTAAACGACTTGTATGCTATTAACCTACTTGACCATGTATCCGCTGCTGGTCTTGCTGTAGTCAACAAGTTCTTACCAACAAGATACGCCAATAATTCGAAACCTAGCTTGCTAGACCTGGTGATTCGTCTAATCTTGACCATATTCTTAAAATTGACCAAATGTCCTTTGTCTCTGACCATGACCTAATATTTTGTGCAATAGATGTGTCGTTGAATTGTCCTGCTGAGAGTGTTATTTTTATGTATCTTGATCTGAGGTCTGTTAACGTTACTGATCTGTTCGTTGATTTGTCAAATGTTAACTGGGATAGCTGTTGGTAGATGAAAAACTTGACTTTTTAAATAAACCCCTCACTGAATTATTTGACGATCATGTCCCTATCCGCATTGTTAGGGCTATGAATACCTCCTCTCCTTGGTGCACTAATAAGGTCAGCTCAGCTATAAAAACTAGAAATAAATTGTATGCAAAATGGAGAAGAACCAAATCTGACGTTGCTTGGTCACAATACAAGGCTGCAAGAAATAAAGCGAATGTCATTACAAGAAATGCCAAGCGGTTGTACTTTAGTTATAAATTGAACCCGTCACTATCATCAAAAGATTTATGGCGCATTTGAAAAACATAAATGTGCATGGAAAACTTAAGTCTGATTGTAAAATTAACTATTTTATTAGTGTCAGCAGAAACAGCAAAAGTCCTCCAACTGAAACTTTCACTAGCAATTTTGCTCTAAAAGAAGAGTTTCAATTTGACGGAGTAAGTGAATCAGAAGTTTTTAAATCGGTGATGGGTATCAAGTCTAATGCCATTGGAGAGGATGGGATATCTTTGATTCTACATTTTATTCTGAGAACTCTAACTCATGTCATTAACCACTGTTTCACAACTTCATATTTTCCAACAGAATGGAAAAAGGCTGTAATTATTTCTGTAGCCAAAAATAGCACTGCTACTAATCCTAGAGACTACAGACGTATAAGTATTTTACCAGCCTTCTCAAAAGTGAGCGAGACGTTGGTGGCAGGGCAGATTTGTACATTTGTACAAGAAAATAATTTATTATCGCCATTGCAGTCAGGGTTTAGACCAAGTCATAGCTGCTCTACGGCTATGTTGAAAATACTTTACGATATTCGTGATACAGTTTGACAAGAGATAGGTCACCACTCTTCTTTGCCTTCTGGATTTTTCTAAGGCATTTGACTTTGTGAATCATGAACTGCTTTGCAAAAAGNCAGGGTTTAGACCAAGTCATAGCTGCTCTACGGCTATGTTGAAAATACTTTACGATATTCGTGATACAGTTTGACAAGAGATAGGTCACCACTCTTCTTTGCCTTCTGGATTTTTCTAAGGCATTTGACTTTGTGAATCATGAACTGCTTTGCAAAAAGCTTAAATACCACTTTGGTTTTTCTGATAGCTCTGTTAAACTTATGATCAGCTACCTTGCAGGAAGATCTCAAAAGGTAATGTGCAAGACTGGCTCCACCACATCTAAACTTGTTGGCTCGGGTGTGCCGCAAGGTTTTTTCCTTGGCCCTCTTTTGTTTAGTCCTTTTGTGAATAATGTATTCTCTGTGTTGCACTATGTCAATGTCCATGCTTACGCTGACGACATTCAATTGTACTTGTCCAGTCAAATTGGTCTTGTTGAAGATTTGTGTTTTAAAATAAACAGTGACCTGTCTGCAATTTCATAGTGGGCCCACGATAATTGTCTTTGCCTAGATGCCGCAAAGTCGTATGTGTTGCCCATTAGTAAACGTGTAGTACATGTGGAAGATATTCCAAAACTGTTTGTTGGTAATAGCGTCCTGATTATGACTGACAAGATAAGAAATTTAGGGTTTGTTGTTATTTCTATGTTGAGCTGTTCTGACCATGTGAATAATGTTGTAAGTAACGTGTATGCTGTTTTACGTAGATTAAGAATGTCAGCGTCGTTTACTCCCTTAGATACAAGAAGAAAGTTAGCTATTTAGCTTATAGTGCCGCAGATCACGTGCTCTGGGCTAGTGTATAGCAAGTTTGACTCTATTCATTTCACAAAATTGATGTTGCGTTTAATAACGTTACACGTTACGTTTACGGTCTCAAAAGATATGACCACATTTCTATGTGGAAAAACAAAATTCTAGAATACAGCATTTTTGAATACCTAGCTGCTAGATTGTATATTTATGTATAGGCTTATAGAATTCAAAACTTCAAAAGACCTTTTTGAAAAATTAAAATCAAGAAGGTCTAATAGAAATCAAAGTCTGATTGTCCCCAAATATTCCTACTTGTCTTCAGCTAGGCTGTTCTTCATTAATGCTGTAAGGTTCTAGAACTCAGTTCCTGAATCCGGAAAAGCAGCGATGAATCGGAGTAACTTCAAAAAGGTATTGCATAATTACTTTAAATCTACACAATGAATGTGGTTGCGATTAAACTGTTATCATTTCTCTGTCTTTGTCACTTCTACTATTAAACCAAATTTTGTATGTTCGTCTTTATATTTATATGCCTGACCTTTTAGTATATCTGGCTTTAAATTTAAATGTTAATTAAAAATACAAATATTAATATTTTTTGTTGCTATTTGATATATTGTTAGTTCTAAGTTTCCTTTATACAAACATTGAATTTTGCAACCTGTTGATGTATTATAAAAGACTCAAAAGTCTTATAGATACAGCATTCGCATTCGTTATGCAAATGATTCGCATCATTTTACACATTCACATTCGAAATTCGCATCAAATGATACGAATGTTTTGCGAATGCGAATGTGTACATGAGCAGAGAGTCCATTCTAATATTCTTGAAATGGCTCTAAGTCTGTCTAACCAGGGTGCGGTCAATAACCAGCTTTTAGCTTCAGGCGCTAAACGGTTAAGTAGTATATCAAACAACTTGATGGGNATGATACGAATGTTTTGCGAATGCGAATGTGTACATGAGCAGAGAGTCCATTCTAATATTCTTGAAATGGCTCTAAGTCTGTCTAACCAGGGTGCGGTCAATAACCAGCTTTTAGCTTCAGGCGCTAAACGGTTAAGTAGTATATCAAACAACTTGATGGGCCTTCAACAAGTACAGCTAACAGGCTTATAAGAAACCAAGAAATAATTTAAGATTCCTCCAGCGAAAGCGAAGGCTCGGATGTAGAATCTGGAGACATTAAAAAATGTGAAATTAAAGCTCATTTGAAGGCCTATCTTAAAGAAAAACAAGTTTATCTCGGTGAAAATCCTCTCGATTGGTGGAAAACTAAACTTAAGTACGAAAAATTTACAGATCTGGCCGGCAATTATTTGAGCGCTCCATCCGCCAGCGTTCCAGGTGAGCAATTGTTCAGTGCTTTCTATACAACCTTCTAAGAAGTCGCCTCATGGGAGAAAAGGCAGCAGAATTCCTTTTTTTTGAAATATAATATGCCCCTTTTGAACTCTGACCACTAGATTAAAACACTGTATAGGTTAAGCACTTGTTCGATGTTAATAACAATTTACAAAATGTTTAAATAATAAAAACGATTATTCATAACATTCGCATTCGGATATGACATTCGAAACATCCCTAATGCATACATACATAACAGATATGTATCTGACTACATATCGATGCTTCATTTCAATCAGACAAGTGTCGTTGAATTGTTTTTGTAGTTCAAAACCAATCATATGCAGTATCATGACTTCGGCAACCCATCAAATGCGGTGCTCGTATCTTCAGCAACAAATCAAATGCTGTGTTATGACTTCTGCAACAAATCAATGAGGTGTCTTGCCTTCGCTAACCTTTCAAATGCGGTGTCTTGACTTCCCAATCAGCGTTGCCCTAAAAAAAATCGTAATTTCGGCCAAAAAATCGTAAAATTTTTGTTTATTGTTTTTTTTCTAACAAAATACATACAAAGGAATTACATACAATGAGTCGTTTGCCTAAAAACTAAGCTAATGCGTTTTCTTAAAATTGCATACCTTTAACATAAACTTATTTGAACAAATTGAGTACGGCCCAATAAATATGACCACACATTACTAAACCAAATGGAACCCACATTGCACATGGGTTAGTAACAGTGGATTTGCAATTGTTAACGACAATTCAAAATTACAATTTAAAACACAACTGCTTTTAAATAGTTTAACTCCACTGGTTTGAAGTGTTTGAAAATTTTGATCTACACCTTTTCCAACAGTATTTCAGAAAACCACAAATGTCTTTCAGAAAAGGACAAGAGTATTTCAGAAAACCTCAAATGTATTTCGGAAAAACTCAAATGTATTTCAGAAAAACACAAATGTATTTCAGAAAAGGCCAAATGTATTTCAGAAAACCTCAAATGTATTTCAGAAAAACGCAAATGTATTTCAGAAAAGGTCAAATGTATTTCAGAGAAACTCAAATGTATTCCAGAAAATGTCAAATGTATTTTAGAAAAACTCAAATGTATTTCACAAAAACTCAAATGTATTTCACAAAAAGGCAAATGTATTTCAGAAAAGGCCAAATGAAATTCAGAAAAACACAAATGTATTTCCGAAAAGCACAAATGTGATTCAGAAAAACACAAATGTATTTCAGAAAAAGATTGTTAGAATATTTTCAAACTAGGTAAACTTTTGCAATGGCAAACTTCCGAGTGTATTTCTGCCTTGAAAAAGCTTGTCATAAAATGCATTCGCCGTTCGGGGGCGGGGTAAAACTATACGTCCCTACCCTTTGTGTGACAACATCAGGGCGCACGGCACCATCTGGAGGAGATGCTCGGCCAAATACTTAGCAAACTGTAAGCGCCATAATATTATATTATTATAAATCCATTTATAAATTAAACCTCTACCCTTCCATCTATTCTTGCTACGACCAATTGAATAAACCAGTGATAAACTCGAGTAATTCAACACTTGTAACGGCGAGATTTTATTTACACATGTATAAGTATTTATGTAGATGTACATATGTTTATTACATGCCAACAGGCATGTCGCGCAATGCCAAATAATCTGCAAAAAAATAGATGAATGCTGAATAGCTCGAGCACAATCAGCAGTAGATATGGTTTCTTTCGCTTGCAGTATTATTTGTTACATATACTGCAGTCGCCTTACTACCACACCAGGTCCATCCGCGGATGTAACGCCTATATTCGATTTTACATAATTCTTTACCTTAGCCCAAACATTTTCTATGGGGTTCAGCATGGGCGATTATGGCCCTAGACGCAAAAGGGTGGGTGACCCATTACTACCCACCACTTGTTCAATGGTGCATTGTCGCAGACTAACACTAAATCGCTTAGTATGTAGCCCATGCTGGTCCATTTTTCAAAAAGTCCGCGGACCCACTCAGCGGCGCTCTCTTTTTTAAATGACCCGCGCCGCGTTTCCATGCTCAGTACACCGGATATACTGATGGCTCCAATTAGGTGTACGTTGGGTCCCCTTGATGGTGGCAGCGTTAAAACCGCTCGTATGCCAGAACGTGTCGACCTCGTCTTCAGACAACCTTTTTCATTCCCTCCTCCTCTTCGTTTGCTTTCTCCTTTGCCAGATCGCACGCAAGTGTATGCTGTTTTGTAATTGATTCCGAATGACGATGCTAAGCTGCTCCAATCTTCGGCTTTGTTGGCAGCCTCAACAATGCGTGCGCGGTCGACTTCATTGTATACCGAATACTTTTTGCGTTCTACAATCTCGTTTTCTGTACCGGAGAATATAAACCTATACACATTATTGGAAAAATTTTTACATATAGAAACGTATTTACGATAAGATAAAATTGTGATTATTTAAAGACCATTTATATATGCATATGTGTATTTGTACCATTCACATCTCCTCGGCATATAGGACACTTATTGGACTCAATAATAGGACCGTTACACTTTTGGTGCAATAAGTGACCACATGGCAGTAGACGAACCACCATTTGCCTGCGCATATTGGCCCAGCAAATTGCGCAATTGTCCTTTAGCTCCATTTTTTAATTATATTATATATTCTAATACTTAATTAGGCACAATTTTTGTACATATGTACGTATTTAGCTCTTTGCTGACTCGGAATACTTATGTACCTATTTTTAGATGTTTAACGCCATGCCCATTTGTAGGTCATGTGTATGTTCGAAATTTGAGACTTTGGTATCGATACTGAGTAATCATTCTGGCATCGAGCTCATGGTATCGATACTCTAAAAGAATCAGAGAAAAAGTATCGATACTACTCAGTATCGGACTCATTAAAATACGTTTTTTGGGATACTAAAATTATTTTATGCTTCAATCGTATATCTACATCTTTTCCAACTGTATTTCAGAAAAAAGCAATTGTATTTCAGAAAAGCTCAAATGAATTTCAGGAAAGAGCAAATGTATTTCAGATATTCCAATTGTATTTCAGAAAACCTCAATTATATTTCAGAACAGTGGAAATGTATTTCAGAAAAGCTCAAATGAATTTTCGAAAAGACCAAATGTATTTCAGAAAACCCCAAGTGTATTTCAGATATTCCAGTTAGATTTCGGAAAACCTCAATTGTATTTCAGAATAGTGGAAATGTATTTTCGAAAAAGCCAAATGTATTTCAGAAAAAACCAATTGTATTTCAGAAACCCTCAAATGTATTTCAGAAAAGAAACAAGCGTGTAGACATATGCCTAAAAATTAAGAGACAAACTCATTCGCTATTATTATTAGTCCGGTGACGAAGGGAATAATTATTCTGTAAATGTTTGATCGCGAGGTTTTATTAACATATATAAATGGAGTTAAAGGACAATTGTGCGATTTTCAGAGTCGACATGCGCAGGCAACTGGTTCTTCGTTTGGTTCCATGTAGGCATTTATTCCACGTAAAATGTAGTGATCCTATTTTACAAACGAGGAAGTGCCCAATATGCCGAGGAGATATTTTAGGTATGCATATACATACATATAAATTAATCACAAAGTGAACTTCAAATTAAAAGTAATTTTAAAATGAAATGTATAGAATTCTTTGACTATTTAAACACTGAAAATGGGGATTGATCTCATTATTGCTATTCAAAAAGTCACAAATATAAAATAATTTATTGGCTCCTGTGTATAATAATGTGTACACTCATGTTAAAATTAATAACACTTTTACTTTTTATGAACTCTTTATTTATATACCAAAATATTGTCAAAACAAGAACTCAGGCGTTTTAAATTATTTTCTGTTACTTACATTCATAATTTTGCTTTGAATAAAAATGTACTGAAAAGTACTGATTTTTTTAGCATGAAAAAGTCGAATGTACTGATTTCGCGCATAAAAAAATCTGGCAACCCAAGTATACGCTGTCAAAATGATCGTTCACTTGCGGTGGCGATGTTTGCAAGTACTGCATGCTTAGCGGTGTTGATCATTCATCCACCGCTTCTAATGTGAGTATGCTTAAAGTAACAAAAATAGCATCGTATGCCATTCTCTGATACGCACCGTTCCTTCGTTTTTCAAAAACGAGGTGTTAAATTAAATGGATTTGCTTTGCTATAAGCAGTGTTGCCAGGTCTTCGGCATTAGAAAACGTCCCTCTTGGTCTGAAAAAACGTCATTTCCTACCCAAAAACGTCTTTTCCAAATGTATGCACACAGAATTGTTCTTATTAAACTTTTATTGTATACAAAGGAACATACATATGAACGTAAGGTATATTAAAATGGCATTTCGATAGAGCACATTTAAAATGCATTAGAATGGAATTCATTAGAATTGCTGAATTTAATGAATACCACTATTGTGAGCTGGTTTGAGATTGTTAATATAAAAATCATTTTATACATACTTGTGATCAGCTGATTAAGTCATCAATATTTTGATCAATTGTGGCTGTTTTCCTTTGTTTATTTAATGTTTATTATTTTCCCATAAAAGCATAGCTCATTATATAACAAACAAAATATAAATCCATATTTCAAACTATGTGTAAAAACTATAAAAAATCTGCAAAGTTTCAGTTAGATTTTCGACTTTTTATTAAGATCTTTTAGAATGTTTATGAGTATGCAGTTTGATAGCCCATTAAATTTCAGGGCAATAATGTGCAAGTTTTTTGTTGCTAAAGAATCGCGTTGAGTTTTAATTTTTTTTTTCTTGTAGACATTTGGCTAGGTGGTCGGTTCTCGAAAATGCTAAATTACGTTCTGCTAAGAAGGAACATGGCAATATTTCAGCTTTTTTGCGTTCATTACATTTTCAGTGAAGTCTTAAAAAAGTCGCCTACTTTTTTCTAACTTATTAACCTGCTACAGCTTTTTTGGTACTTTAGCGAGCGGGCGTGTTTCAATAAATCAGCTCTTCCTGACTTGGCTTTTAATGTTCAATTGCAAACATTGCAATAAGCCTCGTAACCTCAAATGATTACACAACCGGCCTTTGAACCCGGGATCCTTAGTCAAAGAATCAAAAATTGCGCGTACGCTTGGTTTGCATCATATTTAAGTCATCTGTGTCCAAAGAATAAATATCTTTTGAAGCAGCTGGTGCAAAAAACAAAGCTTGTAAAGATTTATTAAGAAAATAATTCAAAATCAGTTCTACTTATGAGTTTTAGTAACAAATTTGCCGAAAGTATGAGCGTAAGTATTTACTCTACAAACAAATAGTACGCTACACATTGAATATAACGCACGTTTAATAATATAGAGATGTAACTCATAATTTACGTTTTTGGAGATCTCATTATGCAATTATTAAGCTGATAAGTAGAATATGTTCAGTATAACAGATAACCAATGTTCCCAAATATGCCGAAGATACGTGTCTTTCCATCTGTATTTTTGTATATCAACTGTATGAATTGATTGCGTTATCCCAGAAAATTTAAATTTTGAAATACTTCGTTATATTATTAAACGTGCGATATTGTGCATAGAGGAAAATTACTGGGAAGTAAAAAAACGTAATTTTTTTTACAAAAAACGTCCAGACGTCAACAGGATACAAAAAACGTCCAAATGACGTTTAAACCGTCAACCTGGCAACGCTGGTTATAAGTTTTTTCTTTTTCGAAAAAAATATAATTCAAGTTAATTAAAAAAATCAATATGGATATCAATCGAAATGGTTTTTAAATGCCTTCATTTCCTAACTAATTTTAATTTAGGTAATTTAAATATGTATCACCCCAGACAAACCACGTTTAAGGAGGTAGTAGTTAAAAATATTTTGATATTATTTAAGAGTCGAATTTAGTTAGCTTATAAACAAGTTATATGAAATATTAAAATATGAGTGTCAAACAAAAGTGTTGGGAAATCTTTAGTTTGTAAATGTAGTTTGTAAGGTTATGAAGAGCTTATCCATCTGTTAAGAAGTTAAATTCAAGTTATTTACCAAGTTAAATTAAATTATTCAAAAATGGGTTTGAAAAGGATTTATTTCGGAACTTTATTAAGGAGAAATGCCAGATCTTTAAAAGACGAAGTTCAACTTAATTAATCAGTAAATAAAAAAAGGAACAAAATGTCAGAAGAAAGAGATTTGAAAAGATTTTAGTTTGAAAATACTTTTGAATGTGGTTGCTACTCGTTTGAAAAGTCGAATTTATTTAATTTATACACAAGTTAAATAAAATGTTAAAATATGAGTGTCAAAGGTAAGAGTTTTAAGAAAACTTTACCTTGAAAATAGTTTTGATTGGGGTTGCCATCTATTCGAAAAGTAATCTCTAACAACATGCATATACATATTTATAATACGCAAAGGAATTTTTGTGAAGATCATCTGACCAGCACCGATATTTCGAATTTCAAAACTGAGATGTCAAATTTAAGAACTGGGCCTGTAGAGGTGTAATATGATGAAACCGAACATCTTATTTGAAATTTGATTAAATAAAAAATAGACACTATGCGAGACCTCCCTTCACTCAGAAACGGAAGGACGGATTTAGCAGAAACATTTGGAATATTTTTTTAGTTTGCTGAGAAGTTTTGATGTAACAGTGAAGCAAACTTACGGTTACAGACTGACCTAATATTGAAATGATTTTGGTGACCCTTAAAGTAGTTTCGCGCTAAGTAAATTGTTTGTTGGTGTTATTTAGCTATAGAACCTTCATCCTCAGGTATTTAACTATGCTTCAGTAATGACTTTTTTCTCCACACAAACAATATTTTTTCTGCTATTCGGTTAATTGATTAATAGGTTATTTCGATTAAAATCGAAAACGATAGAAGCCAATTAATAAGTTATAAAAACTTAATGTTTTATGAAAGGATACATTTCTTGTTAAATTATGGAAACATACGCTATGAATTCAGTGAATAAACAATCTAGAAAACTAAAAACGAAGGGAAAACATATAAAAAGTTGAATAGTAGTATAAAATCTGTTATAAATACACCTCTTGTCAAAATTAAAAGCGCATCACTGATTGAGAAGTTTTAAGAATTTTTTTTTTGATGATGATGGTTTTGGCGACCTTTTTATTTCTTAATTGTTAATTCTGCCGGCTCGAGGTCAAATGGTTTTAGGAAATTTTTTGAATTAAAACACAGGATTTTAATTTTTTCCGATATATTTCGGTTACGCTTCGGTAACCGTCCTCAGGGCAACTATTGACAAACATGTAAAACATAAATACAAATTTCGAAATAATAATTAAACACAAAATGCACACATATATTTATTTACACGTCTGCACTGTTTGACGTGGAGTTTGGTACTGTCTAGAGTTGTCAAACTATCGATAGTATCGATAGTTTCAATTTTTTTAGACTATCAATACTCATTGATAGTTTTTTCTTATACTATCAAAAATATCGATAGTTTAGTAGGACTATCGATTATCTCTCCCAATTTTTTTGAAATTATACATACATATGTTAATCGTAAATCCCGTTTTGTTTGTATAACTTGTGTTTGTTTTTGAACTTTCTAAAAAGAGAAGTATTTTGGCCAAGCAGTTACTTAATTTTGAATGATTATTACTTTTATAAGATAATATTTATTTCACTATGATCCTGTAAAAACAAAGCCACCTAACTGATTTAGGGGTGGGCTTTAGATTGGTAACCCCGGAGTACAGCAGTAAGGAAAATATGGGAGGTAGAGGGGGGT